AGACCTGATGTTCAAGAGCGGCCTGAGCCCGGAGCTCACGGAGGCGCTCACGGAGCTTGCGGCGCACAGTCCGTCGACGCTGCCCAACATCCAGGAGAAGCTCATGAACCAGATCTCGTTGGTGCTGGCCGGCAAGACCTTCGTCTACCCAGGAAACCGGACCAACATCTTCAGCCACATGCAACAGGACACCCAATCAAATTTCATACAACCGGTAAACACCGACCACGACACACCCACGACGCACAAACGACACACGACGCACGACACACGCACATATACACGACACAAACGACCCCACACGACCCACACGACACGCGCACAGCCGAAGGCTAAGCTTACTCAACGTGGGCGTCACAGACGTATATGGAGAGAAATGCAGCAATTCAGCTGGCACTGGAGACGCTGGGCACATTCAACCTGCAGGAGAAGCTCCTGGTCGAGTTTGTGCGCGAAGTCGTCGTCGGATTCCTCGACGACGACAGCCCGTACGCCCCTTCTCCCCCGCCAGACCGCCCGCCCACACAGCTCGAGCGCTGCGATTTGATGGCCTTCTGCGCTTGCTGACCGGACCGTCCGTTCTCTTCGCCCCACACAGTGCGATACGCAAGGCAGCGGCGTTGACCTGCAGCAGTCTGCTAGTGCGGGCCAACAGGAACGCACCCGTCCGCGGCCAGCTCTCCGTCGTCATCGGCGAAGTGCTCGAGAAGCTGCTCATCGTCGGCATTGCCGATCCAAGTACACGCCCACGCCTCGGGTCCTTCATACCTCGAATTCCACACTTACGTCGGCCTTCGCCTTGTCGTGTGTCGTGTGTGTCGTGTGTGTCGTGTCAGATCCGGCGATTCGCGAGACGGTGCTGTCGCGGCTGGACTCGCGGTTCGACTACCACCTGGCGCAGGCCGAGAACCTGCGCTCGCTCTTCATCGCCCTCAACGACGAGGTGTTCGAGATCCGCGAGCTGGCCATCACCACCATCGGCCGGCTCACCATCCGCAATCCGGCCTACGTCATGCCCTCCCTACGCAAGACCCTCATCCAACTCCTCACCGAGCTCGGTACCCAAACGCCCCTTCCTTATTTTTTCTAATTTATTGCCTTTACGTTCAACTATTTCGTTCATCTCCTTAAATATGTACATACTCATGTATATGTGGTATATATCTATAAATGCAGAATTTAGCGGCGACAGTCGTAACAAGGAGGAGAGCGCGCGGCTGCTGGGGCACCTCATCAGCTCGTCCCAGCGTCTCATCAAGCCCTACGTCGAGCCCATTCTCAACGCTCTGCTCCCCAAGCTCCAGGTTCCACGCAGCATTCCTGACATTCTATTTCGATTTCTTTTGGTTGAGTTCATTTTTATTTATTTATTTATTTTGCAATTGGATTGCAGGACACGAACCCGCGGGTGGCGTCGTGCGTGCTGGCGACGCTGGGCGAGCTGGCGACGGTGGGCGGGGCGGACATGACCCCGCACATTCCCCAGCTGCTCCCGCTCATCATCGAGACCCTGCAGGACCAGAGCTCCGCCGTCAAGCGCGAAGTCGCCCTCCGCACCCTCGGCCAGCTCGCCGAAAGCGCCGGTACCACACGCATACCGCACACGCACGAACCGCACACGCACGAACCGCACACACCGCACACACCGCACTCATCACTTAACGGTGTGTGCGGTGCAGGCTATGTGATCGAACCGTTCATCCGGTACCCGAAGCTGCTGGAGATTCTCATCAACGAGATCAAGACGGAGCAGGGCGCGTCGATCCGGCGCGAGGTGGTCAAGGTGCTGGGCACGCTCGGGGCGCTGGACCCCTACAAGCACAAGACCATCCAGATCGAGGTGCGGCAGGAGAAGAACCAGGTGGCGGGCGCGGGCGACGGCGTGGGCGGGTCGGCCCACCAGCCGCCCCACGAGGTCTCGGGCATGGGCTCCGAGGAGTACTACCTCACTGTGTCCGTTGGCGCCCTCATGAAGATCCTGCGCGATCCCTCCCTGGCCCAGGTAACACGCGGCACACGCGACACACGACACGCACGGCACACACGACGAGACGGCACGACACGCGCGTGAGGCACGCATAACTGACGTTCCGAGTAATGGTAATCGTGTGCAGCGTCACAGCACGGTGATACAGGCGGTGATGCTCATGTTCGAGTCACTGGGGCTCAAGTGCGTCCCGTTCCTGCCGCAGATCATGCCTCCGTTCCTGGCCTGCATGCGGACGAAGGAGAAGAAGCGGCTCGAGCCACTCTTCAAGCAGCTCTGCCTCCTCGTCTCCATCGCCAAGCAGCACATCAAGGTAATGCTCCACCACCCGCACTTTAGGACGAGCGCGCTGAATGAACGCTGTGTCGTGTGTCGTGTGTGTGTCGTGTGTGTCGCGTTTAGGACTACCTGGACGAAATCTTCTCATTGATCAAGGAGTACTGGAACACCGGTCTTCTCGACCAGATCATCACCCTCGTCGAGGCCCTGTCGCAAGCACT